GAGTGGGGTGGGATGGGGGGCTTCGGGGGGGCCAGGGAAAGGGGCTCTCAGGGCCATATGCAGGAGCCCTAAGCAAGAGGCTCAAAGGTGCCACATCCAACTGGGCTGCTGTTTTCCTTTCTGGGGAAGGGGAGAAGGGACCCTGGGACAGCACCAGGGAGGCTCCCATGCAGCACCCTTGTCCCTCCTGTCACACTCCAGCCTGTGGCGGGACCTGTGTGATCAGCAGCTGGGCTGCCCAGCTTAGCAGGCTGATGCCCTCTCCCCCACCAGAGCCAGTACATCTTCCTGCACAGCTGCATCCTCAGCAGGATTCTGCAAGGGCCCTTTGGCACCTCTGAGTGAGTCCGGCTCCCCTTGACTTCGAGCAGAGAAAACACAGCAGCAGCTGGTCAACCCCGTAGGCCTTCTCCCCTCTGCCTCCCCAACCCAGGACCGGACCCATCTCTGTGGCAAATTTTGCACAGGCGTGTGCCAAGAGGGCAGCCAATGCCAATGCTGGCTTCCTGAAGGAGTACGAGGTATGCCCCAAGCCACGCACCAGTGGCGAGTGCATGCAGCTCTCCCCTGCCTGGACTCAGGGTGCCCATCTCCCAGCTCCTGCTGCAGGCTATCAAGAACGAGGCTGACTCTTCATCGCCCCCTCCTGGCTATGAGCAGGACAGCACTGTCTCCTGTGAGTTCCACTGGGGTCCAGTATCAGGGTGAGTATGGGCTGGGGACCGGCGTCAGCCTCACACTCAGCGCTTTCCCACAGGCGCTCACTCTCGGCTCCAGTTTTCTCCCACGGGAGAGGGCTCCGCTGATGATGTCCCAGAAGCCTGGCTCTTCCCTGTGAGATGATGCTGGTTGCCCCCTCTGACTGTCCATGCTTCTCAGACCGGGACTGGTGGTTTGGGGGCTCCTAGACGGGTGGGGGACACCTCAGTCCCTGGGATCCAATGAGCTGTGCTCTGCAGGGGGGCCTTTGGGTCGTGACCACGTGGTGCTAATGGGGCCCGTGGGGCCAGAGGAGCTTTGGGAGCTGGTGTGGGAGCATGGCGCCCATGTGCTGGCCGCCTTGAGTCTGCCCGATACCCAGGAGGTGAGGAGAGCAGACAGAGGGTGGGCAGGGCAGGTGCTGGGCTGATGTAGGTGGAAGGAGTGTGCAAGGCCTCAGCAAGCTGAGCTCTGATTTGGTCCCAGCCACAGGCGTTCTGGCCAACAGAGTCACGGCCCATCATCACAGGCACGGTGACAGCAGACTGGGTGGTGGACAGCAGCGCTGCCAGCTGGCCCTGTACTCTCTTCAGGGTCACACATGTAGGTGCTGGGGCCACAGGGGGTGGTGGGCAGTGGAGGCAGAACCCTGGCTGCCTCCCCTGCCCTCTGGGCATCAGTGTTCATCTTTGCCCAGGGAGAGAGTGGGACTGAGAGGCTGGTGCAGCGGCTGCAGTTCCTACGCCAGGAGCATGGGCATGAGCTGTCTGCTACCTACCTGCTGCCTTTCTTGGCTGCCGTGGGCCCGTGCTGCTTCCGGGGCAGAAGCAGGAAGCCTGGTACACTGCTCAGCTACTGCAGGTGCTGGAGGACAAACCTCACTGAGCTCGCGTGGGTTATGGGTCAGGACAGCCTCCCATGTCCTTGTCATCTCCGGCTTTGTCCTCAGGGTTGTGGTAGGGTTACCCCTCTCCGCCTGGCTCCAGCCTGGCTGGTTGACCAAGTGCCTGGGAGCTTGTGCCAGCCCCCAGGCCCAGACCTGGTTTCCCCATGTCCCTGGATACCCCCATCATCCCCTCCAGGTCCCCATCCAACTCTAGGTCCATTGCAGCAAGGGTGCGGCCCAGCTGGGCACATTCCTGGCCGTGGAGCAGCTGCTGCAGCAGGCAGGGACTGAGCAGACAGTGGATGTCTTTAAAGCAGCCCTGCAGCAGTCACAGGCCTGTGCCCTCATGATCCCCACGCTGGTGAGAGGGGATCAGGGCCTCAAAAGTAGGAGGGCTGGGGAGGTGAGGCAGGTTTGCGCCCCCTACAGGCAGCCCCTTGCTAGTGCCATCCTTGACTCCACCAGGTGGCGCTATGGGCCACTCTGCTCTCCCTAGATGGAGTCCTAGGGATTGGGAGACCCTGGGGCTTTTCCCTGTCTGGTTTGGGCCAGAAGAGTGAGTCTCCTTATTCTTGTCTACCCTCAGGAGCAGTATATCTACCTCTATGACTGTCTGAACAGCGCATTGGTGGATGGGCTGCCCTGAGACCAGAAGCAGCCTGTGCCCTGCCACGCCTGCCCCAGCAAGTCCCAGGGGGCCTGCCTTCCCGAAGGCAGCCTCTACCGGGTACTGTGGTGTGAAGGGCCAGAGGCAGGGAATAAAGATGTGGTCAGGGCTGAGGCTGAGCACTCTGTCTGTCATCTGACATGGGGGCTAACACAAAGGCCTGTGGGCATATACGGAGCAGGATTAAGAGCTGGGGCCTGAGGTCAAGCTGGGTCAACTGACCCCACCCCTCTCCCTAGTCCCCAGTTTTCCAGTTTCCCGAATTTCAGTCTCTCACCTCTAGTGCCATTTGGTGCCAAGCCCTGGGCTTTAGAGTCCTCCTTCCCCACCCACGGCCCCTGCATGCCGAAGGATCGACTCACCCTGTTCCCCTTCCCCCTCCTCTGCCATCCCCAGCTTTCTCTACCTGCCAGGCTCCTTGCCTGGGTGGAGATGGTACAGCCATACTGTGGCCTGGAGGGTGGGGGCAGAGTTGCCGGGCTCTCCTGCTCTTCTGCTTTCTTCTTTCTCCCCTCCACACAGGAGGCTGGTGGGAGAGGACGCAGAGAGGGATCTGGAGATGGGAAAGCTAAGAGACCAGAGAGGAGGGTGTGGGTGAGGCTGCCTGTCCCAAACCCTGGAGGACCAGACTGCACATCAGTCGTGATTGCGATGGCCTCACAAGCTCTTGCCTGCCTTCCCATTAGAATGCAGGTTTCCTGGTGCCATGGTCCCTGATGCTGGGTGCTGATAGCCCTGTTGGAGGGTGCTGGGAAGACACAAAGCCAGGACAAATCAAACAAGTCCTTTAAGTGGAGGCAGATCCCCCACCTGGGGTAGGGGACAGGGGTCTTACTGGCAGCCTCAGTTCCTTAGGGACATGCAAGGCATCAGAGGTCAGGGTCCTTCTCGGGCCTGGTTGAAGAGAAGTTAGGCTTTCTGCTCATCAGGGGCCACCCCAGAGTGGTGTCAGGCTCTGTTGCTACCCCCTGAGGACTTAATGACAAGGTCCTCTTCCATGCACTGTGCTCAGCAGGAGACCACGGTTTGGTGCATGCTGAGCTTCACAGGGACAGGCCGGGGGCAGCTCTGCACTACCCAAGCCTGCCTCACAGGGCCAGGTCAAAGGGGCACAAGCCAGGAACACAGGCCGACACAAGGGCCTCTGCGAGGCACTGCCATCTGGGGCTTCGGGGTCTTTATCGCTGTGCAGGGCCATCCTAAGGCTCATCTTCCACTCTAAGGGCCATGGCCCCAACTGGAGTCCTGGGGTCAGGGTCTGGTGGCTTTGCTCTCCAGCTGTGCAGCTCCTCTGGTCCAGGGAGATCAACAGAGCGTGGAGAGGATTGATGAGAGCGTCCTGGCCGTGGCAGGGGGAAGGAGTCTGGGTCCGCGAGGTCCCTGTGTTTCTGGAGTGCCCTCTGGGGGTACTGTGGGGGGAGAAAAGCTGGGCACAGGGGCGCTCAACCCGCTCTAGCTCTGCGCTGGGGCTGGCTCAGGAAGACCGAGACGCCAGAGAAAGCACGAGGTTACATGAAGGAAGCACATCCAGCCAAGTTCCGCCTAAGGAGAGAACGGGGACTGGGCCGCAGTTCTAACCGCTGTGGCCAAGAAGACCCCGTAGCTCTGCAGTGGCTGAGCGGCATCTTCAGCACTGAGCCTCCAGGTGGCGCCAATCTGCCGACTTCGGGCCGGCGCTGACAGCCCGCGGTGCACATGGAAGCCTCTCGGCCTCACTACCCTGGGAGCCCGGACCGAGGTGATCCCTCGCTGTAACCCTGACAGAGAGCCCGCCAGTGCCTCTGCAGCCACTGTGCACGCGGTGAAGATCCGTGCCCATTTCCTTGGTGTCAGGGCATGGCCTTCCGCTCCCGCTTCCTTTCGGGCCGATCGCAAGCGCCCTGCTCCCGCAGCAGCCCGACACTCTCTTTCCCCTCTCATCCAGGGAGCAGGGCGCAGGGCGAGGACCCCCAGCGAGCCAGCTGGGTGACCTTGAGCAAACCTCTTCCCTCGGGTCTGGGCCCCTCGGGTAGAGTGCTGGGGGGCTGGGGGCCTCGCAGACGTCAAGGTCTCTCTCCTCGGGCCGCCTCCGTGTCCCACGTGACCCCGTGGCTGTCCCCAGGGGCCAGAGGGGCACGAGCTCCCTGGGCCGGGCTGTGGGGGGGCTCTTCCAGCAAGTGCAGGTCTCCCACATGCTGAGCCTCCCGGCTTTGGGTTCCCCCACCCCGCCCCCTTTCCTTTCCTGGATGAAATTCCTGCCAGTTTGGAAGGAAGGAGGGAAGGGGAGCGAGCGCAGCGCAGAAAGTTTCCTTGGCTCCTCCTCCGCCTGTCTCCCTCTCTTGCCAAGCCCAGCCTGTGAAACTGAATAACGACGATCACTCAACAATGCCTGCCCCTCTCTGACTGCAAAGTCCCTGCGCTCCCGCCGCGCCGAGCAGAGACCTCGGGGCGGTCCC